CCGAATCACATCAATCAACTGGATGGAGCTCATTTCTGAGATAGATTTTTATTCCCTCATAAAACAAGGGTCCTGCTGCATCTGGCTGACCTCAAATTTCCTGCTGTTGGAAACATGGAAGGGAAATCCATGTATGGCACATCACCAGATACACACTCCTTCCATCTGTGATAAGCAAAGTTCAGAGATATGGCTGTTAGGTACAGGGAAGTACTGAAGGAACTGATAAAATAAGTGTTCTACAGGACATGAATAACAAGAATGCTTGGGAGGGATGGGAGCCATTTAAGAACTGTGTTACACATACCACCAAGAACAATATTCAATTAAGATGGAGGAGAGGGGTGAAGGATTGGTCTAAGCAGAAGGTAACAGTGTAAGAGCACCAACAAGCTGTCTTTCACCTCTCCATATACGGTACCAATTTGCATTTGCACAGATGCGCATTACCCGTGTCTATGCACTGCTCTTACCTAATCCCATGCTGAATTCAACAGGTGTCAGATACCCGTTATTGTTTTGCTCTAGGCTTTCAAAAACTGCTTCCAGTTGTTCATGGGTCAAAGGGAGTTCGCTCTGGAGCCGCTGTGGAGACAGAAGAGACAAGCCAAAGACCCAGATCAATCTAATCCAAATCTTTTCCCATAACTCCTAATGACCTCAGTTGTGTTGGGTCAGGCCTAGAGTGTTCATCCCAGTTTAAGGTGATGTTACAATAAATTGTCTGGATGGTATGGCAGAAAAAACTATTTTAGGTGCTGCCTCTGGGTGACAGTGTTACGGGTGCCTGAGAACTGCAAGTTAGATGAACAGCCAGGAGAGTACAGAGGGCATTCTCCTTTTTCCAGGTTACTTTGTTCTGAGGAGGACTCCTTCAGGATCAGCTATTCTTCTGCCTCCTCCCCATCATAAAACTTGTCTCCTTAATCCCCCCCAAGTCAGTCTCCCCACTTATCCTTCCTGACTGAGAAAGTTTGGACTTGGTTTCCAAGACCATCAGCAACTCTTTGTGGACACTTGTACATGCTTCTTGGGATAGAACAATGCGGTACTATGGGGCCAGCCCCCTTACCCTGTTACTCCCATCAGTGAGGAAACATGGCCTAGTGTGATGACACCTAGAAAAATTTGGGTTGGGGTCCCAGCTCTGCCACAGACCTCCTGTATCAGTACAAACAAGGCACGGTATCTCAGTGCCTCAGTTCTCCATCCATAAGATGGGAACAATGATAAAAATATAAAATAAGATAAAGGGTGAAAGAAAAAAAAAAAAAAAAAAGCAACACTTCCCGGCAGGGACATTTGCATACACTGCAGAGCACAAAGGTGCCTCAAATGAGATCAGGGCTCCAAGGAGCTACATACAGCAACTGAGATCCTGATCACGCCTGTTAGCTCTTAGTAATGCTTAACAAAGCCTGTTAACAAAAGCCCAGAAAATTATGCACAACCCATGACCAAACAGGTGAGCCAATTCCTGTTTACTGAGCACAACCTACACCTGTAATTAATGGTAAGCAGAAAGAGCTGGGACATAATTAGACTGTCAAATGTGAACTACAGATACAGCCATAAGAGGTGCATCTTAAGTAATAAAGCTGTAAAAAACAAACTGCCTTCCTCCCCCCACCAAAAAACCCTCCAAAAACTCCAACTTCCCCCCAAAACAACCCCAACCCCTCCCAAAAATCCCAAAAGGTGATTAAAAAGAATCCCTTAGAAAGCAGCACCTTTTCAGAGCAAAAATCACCAGGTGAGTCCTTGAGTTAGATTTTAAGGAAACCCTTACAGACCATCTACAGAAGAAGTTGCTGGCACAATTAAAAGGACAAAAAAAAATATCAAGTCATATTTCTTGTTTTGGAGGAAATGCAGTGGAGTAAGGGAGAAACATATTTTCAGAAAAACTGACAAAGGCAAAGCTTCAATTCTCTCCTTTTCAAGGGGTGAATGGCTGGCTAGAATAATCTCTGATGGACCTGTAGGCGACAGGGAGCTATTCAGGGCAACACAGAGGGCATCCTGCAGTGTGAAATGGAGACGTGCCCCTCCTATCCCAGCCCCAGATCCCATCCCTTTTACAGCTTCCTCCATGGGAAGAGAGCAGGACAGCTGTTCCTCTTACCTGCATGTCCAACTTGGTGATGAAGCCTTTCCCCTCCTTATCACACAGCTGGAAAAGCTCCCTAGCCTTCTCCAGCATCTCCACCTGAACATCTTCTGCTTCACTCAAGGGATGGGAAGGGGAGGCATCAACAGCCATCCCATCCTCTTCTTCCTCTCCCTCCCAGTGGGCATATCCCCTCTGGCTCGCCATCTTCCCTAAACTCTCCCAGCTGGGGCTGGGACAGGTTGAATAGCTGGAATGGAAGAAACAGAAACAAATACATTAAAAAAAACCAAACCTGTGTGCTCCTCCATTTCCACCCTTTCCACACACATTTAAAATAAGGAGATTCATGCTCCACTCTGCACCTTCTCCTCCAAGTGGGAAGCACAATAGCCATAGATGTCACTGGGGGCAAACAGAAGGGGAAGAAAAGCAGCCTTAGGGAGACTGCCTTACAGAAGGCTGTGCACTACATACAAGGCACAGGTGTCCCTGAGCCTATGGTGCGCCCTTTACTCTGATGGGGCTTTCACAGTCAATGCCTAAAAAAGGACATGCCCCATTTTTTTCTCTTTCTGCCCAAGTCCTACAGTGATTTGCACTGGAGAGAGTTGATTGTCAATGAAAAGATTTAGCAATGTGCAGTCATTATAGGATTGAGGAATGGCCAGGAAGGGGTAAAGCCTTTATGGCTAGGGACAGACATTCAAAAAGCCTGAGCCTAAATTGATCCAATCTTTGCAGGTTAGTCTAACCTGGCTAGACTAAACCACTTTGTAACCATACGGACATCCCCTCTCGACTGAAAAAAAAGAAAAAAAAAATGCAGGCACATGCCTGCAGTGGCTTGGGCAAGAAGCTGGGGGTGGGGGCCTCCTTCTCTTCTACAGTGCTGAGCTGAGGGGGGCATGGCCAGGCCCTGGCAGGATGCTCTGATTAGGAAGAGGTTCCCCACTCCTGACCAGCCCAGCAGGGAATTGATAACACAGTGTTTATATCACCCCTAACTCAGTGTTTATCACCCCATTAAGAAAACAGAGGGACATTATCGGCTACCTGTTGATTCTGCCTTTGTCCTGTCTGAGACCGTAGTCAGCATGTGGCCTGCTAGCTAATGCTGTGCATCTGTGTAAGGCAGAGGGGATGGCAGAATCCCTGCTTGTGGTGGGGAGCAGAAGCCAGGTAGATGCCTGCAGTCTTTGCAGAGCTGCAGCCGGGGAGCAGAGGGGAGGGGCCAGCCCTGCTGTGGAGAAGAGAGCCCTGCTCAGCCCAGAGAGCATACCCCCAGCATCCTGGCATCTGGTTTATCTTAAACCAGCAAGGGGTCTGGGACAGACATTGCATAAACCTGGTTGAATGTAGTATCAGACTTAAAACTGGTTTGACCTAAATCAGTATCTGAAACCAGTTTCAGCCATTTTCAAACTGGTTTATGTGCACTGAACATCTGTTCTGTTACAGGTTTAAACCAGTCTCTGATCACTTAAACCGGTTTGTGTGTAATGTCTGTCCCTAGCCTATTAGAGCCAGAGTCCTCCAAGAGTCATCTGTGTTATAAAGTCTTTGGTTAGATCATGGGGACCTCAGTTCAGTTCCTGGCTCTGCAACAGGTTTTCTGGAGCTAGCCACCTTAGTCTTCCCTTGCTTTAGTTTCCTAGGTGCATAACAGAGTTGATAAACCCTCCTCCCTCCTATAGCCAGGGCAGCACCAGGGTTCAAATAGTCACCCCTCCCCAGGAGTGGATTAAAGGGGGTGCACTGGAGCACTTGCCCCCACCTTGATTCCTACTCCACCCAAAGTTCAAAACCAACTGCCTGGCAGTGGCAGGAGCATTTCTAATCAAGCAGTGCTGAGGGAGTCACTGGACTTCATGGCTCATTATAATCTATCTTATCCATTCTCAACTATTTATTCCACAAGTGTTAAATGACCCTCTCTCCTTTTTAATGATCTTGATGTTCCACCAGTCAAGCTAGCCTTTGTTCTGCAATGCTGCTATCTGTTAGCTGCTCCTGGTAATGAAGCTGTAATTTCACAGTCCTGCAAACTGCAACTCACTCCAATGATGTTATATTTGTTTTTACTTCAATCTTAAATAGAATAAATACAGCCCCTAGCATATTAGTAAAGCTTCTAGTTTATTTTTAACGAGAAAAATATGTAGTGTGTTGTATGCGACAACGCACCGCCCATGTGCACCCTCCTTTTCAAAATTCTAGATTTTGTCCATGCCTCTCCCTCCTTACTCCTCTCACCACTCCAGTGGCCCACTCTGCAGGCTGGAAGAACTAGACAGGTATAGCACATAGGACAGAGGGACAAATGGGAAATACTGTTAATAAAAACTTCTACTGCTCAGTCACAAGACCATTCCTCCTATATCACAAGTTTTCCAACTTTTCTCTGCACTTTTATAAAATGGGTGGAGTGGAGTGATTCACCCCCCACCACCAACTTCTCATGGTCAAAAATCAAAGTTGAAAGGTTTGAGGGGAGCAGGACCTGGCTGAGGAGATGGGGCAGCACTCTTGTTTCTCCTTATCCTGCAAGTGTGAAAACTCTTCTTGAACCCTGGCAAAAAACTCTGCCTCGGCTCCCTGCTCTGGGTTCTCAGATTTGCTCACCCTAAGGGCTCTGATCTGATTCTAGTGGAGGCCCCATTCTCAAGCACTGGCAAGGAAGAACAGCAGCTGGAGAAGCACAAGTAGGATGCTAGAAGATAATATAGTTTGTGGAGTAAAAAAATACTTTGCACACCACCTCGAGTTGTTTTCTCTTCTGTTATTTCTCTTCTATGCCCCTCATGAGAACCTTTGTGTCATTTCCACAGACCTCAATGAAACAATCCCAGTGTTTCACATACCTCTCCAGTGCTTCACATACCATTCTCCATACCCAATATATAAAGGGGAGGGATGGATGTTGCTGCCTTCAGAGCTGTTTCTCACTCTGTGGCGGTCTCACTACTGAGGCAGCAGTGAATTATTACTTCCCACTTGCCCTTCTAGGTCCTCTGTACTCCATTCAGCTAGTTCTTCCAGCTTGCAAGGTGGGTAACTGGGGAAGGGAGGACATTCGGACCCTGGTGCTGGGCTGACTATGGAAGGGAGTTAGAATCTCTCTCTCACCTACACCATTCCATCTCCAGACCTTTGTGCTTCAGGAGTTCAAAAGCTGCCAAATAAAGAAGTTTCACCTAAAATGTTGACCTCTGCAGGAAGGAAATGCCCACAACAGAGAGGAATTTCAGCCAAAAGAGACAATTCCAGCAAGTTACAAATACTTCAAAACTATGGACTTGCCAGACACACACACACACACACACACACACACACACACACACACACACACACACACACCCACCCACCCACCTACACCCTCCTACCTTCCAATTCACTGTTCCAGTAGAGCTTCCTATAAACAGTTGTCCCTTGATACCAGTAACAATTTAAGTCCTGCTGCACTGATTGCTTTGGATTTCTCCTTATGGACAGTTAAGCTCTGCAACCAAGAACAGGACTTAACCATGCAGACAGGTCGAGAGCAGATTTAACAGCACTTGCCAAAGAACATTTTTTCTTTTAATCTCCAAGAAATTAAAAACCACGTATAGGGGCAGTAATTGCAGCCAAGAGAATTTTTGTTTGCGCTCTTATTACACAGTAAGGACAAAGAATGTCATGTGCATAGGCAAGAGGCATTTGACACAAATAATAAAAGGACAAGGCGGCTATGTGCAGCACTGTTGACTCTCCATTCTGTTGCTCTTTGGCAAGTTAAAGGGTGGTTCTGCTCTGAAAAAAACAACGATATAAAAATTCCATTATCTTATTACCCAAGAGCATTCAGTGTTAGAGCTGCTGACTTCTATGACAGCTGTAACAATATTTATTTGAAGTGCGTCATTCAGCCCAAAGAGGTTCTCCTATGCTATACAGACCTCTTGATTTGAGTGGGGGCTCTTGGCAAACAACAGAAACAAAGCTGGAACTCAAATTGTGTAGACCCAACTTATTTGTGTCCACAGTTTTATTAACAAACTGTTCCTACTTAACAATTTGGATGCAGGATTAGAGAGTCTGCTGGTTAAATCTGCAGACGAGACACAGCTGGGAGGAGTTACGAACACAATAGGATTAAAATTCGTATGGGATTTTAAGGAACTGGAGAACTGGGCTATGGACAACAAAGTCAAATTCAACTAGGATAAGTGTAAGGTGCTATGAACAGAGAAGGAAAAAAACCACAAACGAACAAATCCAAAATGTGGGAATAAGTAGCTAGGAAGTAGCACCGTTGAAAAGAATCTGGGGGGTTTTGAAAGATCACCAGTCAGCCCCAGTCAGCTACGTGATGTAGTCAGAAGGAAAGCAAGTCTAATTTGGGTTTTCAGTAACAGAAAAACTGTATGCAAGACATGAAAGATGACTGCATTCCTCTACTTGGTGCCAGATAGGCCCCAACAGGAATATGGTGTTTACTTCTGAGCAGTACATTTTAAGAAAGATGTAGGAAAACTGGAGAAGATCCAGGGATGAACAAAGACAATAGATGCTGGAATGAAAACTGTATTAAGAGAGGTTGACAGAATTAAGTACACTTAGTCTGGGGAAAAAATGGAGATTAAGGAGGGAAACAAAGGTAGAGAAAAACAATGTTCTCCCTTGCTACAGAAGGCAGGACACAAGGTAATGAGTTTAAAGCCTCAAAGGAGGCCTCAGGAAAACTTTCTTAACTGGGAGAGCCCTAAGACAATGGAACAAGCTGCAGGAAAAGCCATGGCATCTCTTTCACCAGAGATTTTCAAGAGGCTAGACAAGCGTTATTCTGGGATGGTTTACAAAAAAGCACATCCTGCATCTCTGCAAGGGTTGGACTAGATGTCTGCCAACCCTTTGATCCCATCATTGTACTTAAGATGATAAGCTTTTTACTACATAATTGTTTACTGCTGCCAGGCAGTGGCAGAGGGTGCAGAGACTGGAGTGGATTCTGTTTTGGCTTTGTTCATTTTAATTAGTTAACCCATATCTGACTGCAGAACCGTTGTACGTGGCAATGGATGAGCCAGAAAGAACCCAGCTTGGCTTTCATGGTCCAAGTTGAAGTTGCAGAGCTGTACTCAGAAAACACTATCTTTTTTGTGTGTATGCTTTGACTGTGTCCACAAAGAGAAGTGATGGATGTTGATAGACAATAATTAGCAATTACAAGCCCAAGAAAGGAGTATTTAGTCATTACACCATGAATGCTCTGGTCCAATGCCCCAGAGAAAGTGGGGAATAGAGGCAACAGACAATCTTTAACATTGGTAGATAATTAAGTTAGCTTCTTGCTGGAGTCCGAAACCATCCTCTTCAGAGTTTTCTTGTGGGGTCAACCAGAAAGCTTCCTCTGACTGTGATGAAAGAAGATGAACATGGGATAGGGGGAAACTTGGAAACTGTTGGAGAGAGATAATTCTGCCATCTCACTGACAGGGGTAAAGCCAGTAGGAGCAAGAGATTCCCATGGACAGAGACTCCCTGTTCTGTGGAAAGCAAGGTCAGAATGGTATGAGCTGGAGGCAAGAAGAACAAAACAAGGAATACTGTAAAAGCCTGCTCTGAAATACATCTACGTAACCTGTGAGGTCTTTGAGGTTATCAACAGCATACATGAGGCCTCATCTTCCTTATTAGTTGCTTAATCATTTCCCTTTCAAGAGCTGGATAAGCCCACATGGGTAATAAGATCAAAGCACTCTTCTGTAATACGCAAAATGTTAGAGTGGGCAGATACGCTGTTCCCATTAAGAGACCTATTCATGGGCTACAATCAACTATCTCTAGGACATACTCATATCCCGACCTCTTGCATGTTATTTTAATCAAAAGGCCCTGCTGCATTGTAGCTCTCAAATTATTAGCCCAGCTAAAAGCCTTCCAATTAGAAGAACAGAGCCATGCTGCTGCTGAGATGATCCTGAAAAGGTTTGAATCATACTGTTTGAGGGCAAGATCATTAATTCTGTATTTTGAGAGTGAACAAATGAGCTGTCTCACTCAGACTGTTCTGCATCTCCAGTCCAAATGCAACCCTCTTTCTGGAGGGAAGGCAGCCTGATTTCTACAGAATTAAAAACACATCCAGTGAAAACAGCAGATACACCTCAGAGCATTCACTGAAAAGTTGTTTACCTATGTCCCCTGTACAGGTAGCCCATCTGGAGCACGTCAGGGCAAAGAGTCTCAAGAGATGACTAGGTACTAGCCCAGTAACTTATAACCTAGGGTCAGTCAAGGGACAGAACTGCCAGCTTGCTGGTAACCCAAGAGCCACACACCAAACTGAATAAACAGAGCCTATTTCCTCATGTATAATGCCCTGGCACCACCCATGGAGACAGCAGGTCCCAGCATTGAACACTTCCACCTCAAGCATTCAGCCCACTCCAGTTAGATCTGTGTGTCCACATCAATACATAATCAACACTATATGTTAAAAACAATTTGGAAGGACAAGAGTTACCTTAGGATAACCTTACCAGAAGAGGATGCAACAAGTATCTCCTGATACACAGGTGAAAAATGAAATCTAAATCCAAAGTGATGCTGAAACAGTCACAATGAGAAGATAACAATTCCAGCTGATGCTTGGATAGGACTCAGGTCCTGCCAGCAAGGTAGTTGGTGCCTAGGTGGGACAGAAAAAACTTTGAGTCAAACAACTGCACAGCATTAAAGCAAACACTGCACACAGAGACTAAGAGAAGTATGCTGCATGCACCAAGACACCTAGGAGCTCAAGCTTGTGGGTCACAGTAACTATTTCTGGCCATAGGCTCTGTTGAGAAAGAGGAATCACCTAATCTTGTTGGACAGCTTCTCTAGCAGGAAGGCCTCTTACAAAAGAAACACAGGTCTTGCCCTCCTGCCTCCTCTCTCCCACCTGCATGGGACCCCAGCCTGGGTTTGCCCAGCTTTCCCCCCTGCTCACCACTCTAGAAGTAGGGGGTCATGGCAAGCCAGCTCAGGCAATGCCTTAGGTAAAAGGGGAGAAAGGGAAGAGGATTAAACTCTCCGTTTCCCCTCTCTCACCAGCACGGGGACCCCAGCCAGGATTGTCCAGCTTTCCCCGTCGCTGGCTGCTTGCATGGCAGGGGGCACAGCTGAAGCCAGCCCAGGCAGCAGCCTCAGGTGCTGCCTGGGCCAGTTCTGGCCATGCCCCCCACCATGCAAGCAGCTACTGAAGGTGGGGGGGGGCAGCAGGGGGAAAGCCAGGCAGACCCTGGCTCGGGTCCCTGTGCCAACAGGAGAGAGGGGAGACAGGGGTTAAATCCTCTTCTCCCCCACTTCGCCTGAAGGCCCTGTGCCTGGTCCGCCACCCTTGCTGGGGTCCCTGCAGGTCAGGGTGGGGGTTTAAACCTCTCCCCAATCATACTCAGCAACCTGCTAGGGTCTGGTCATGCAGCCTCCCCCCTCGCTGTAGCATCCCTTGCTCCAGCCTGAGCCACTGCAAGCATGTGGCTGCATTTCTACCATCAAAAGTGAATGTTTGTTCACTTGCAAATCAGTTTAATCTACACAGGTTAGACTAACCTCCAAAGATTGAATCAATTCAGGCTCAGGCTTTTTGAATGACTGTACTTAGAGAGAGAAATAAGGAAAAACAGTTTCCAGGGAAATTTGCTGCCAGTGTACCTTGCCTTACAAAGATAGCATGCAGAGGGTAGCTGGGATTTTGATCCAAGATAAACCTGCCTTGGACTATTGAACTAGTTAGTCTTACAAGGGAGGTCTAAACATCATGAAATTCATTTCCAGAGGTGGAGGGGAGTAAAGAGGGTATAGCAGTATATGGGGAAATCAGGGGTCTGAGGGGTTCTTTCTAACTCTGCCACTGACCTGCTGTGTGACCTTGGGAAAGTCACATTACCTCTCTCTGCCTAGAATATTGCCAACTCTCATGATTTAATTGACCCTTAGAGTAGTTCATACTTTACTTAAGAGACCAACTCCTTGGAGGCAAGTGATTCAGAGAAAGTTTGAATCTTCTATCTTTTTTTTTTTTTTGCTCTTGTGGAAAAAAGCTTGAAGAGGTGACCTGCATCTATCCTGAGGGCTTTGCAAGCAAGAGATGAAGAAAAAGAACCTATAAAAATATTGCTTTTGGGGGAAAAAAAAGATTAAATCCAATGCCTGCTTAAGACAATCTCATTATTTCTCTAGGATCCGTCTCATGATTTCTGAATGCTGGGGGCTGGTTTTGCTGCTCTGCCATTGTTTAGGCCATCTCACTGCATTTCTCGGTGTTTAATCACATTACCTTCTGCTTTCTCCTTTACCCTCTGAAGTTACATTAGTTACTATAGAAATAAGGCCCTTCACACAGCACAGTGAAGTTAATCAGACTGCATCCTGCACCTGTTAGAGAGCAGTTCAAGATTTAGTCTGCAGTCCGATCAATGCAGGCATGTGTGACAATTACTCTGGTCACATTTACAATTACCAACCCTGAATTACTATGATTTTAGTTTCACCAGCAAGTCTATTGGAATCATAGAAGAATAAGCATGGAAGGGACCTCCAGCAGTCATCTACTCCAACCCCCTTCTCAAGGCAGAATCATCCCTTTTTAAACTCTCAGTCAAGTGTTTACCTAGAGAAGCTGTAAATTCGCTATCCTTGGATGTTTTTATATGCAGTTAGGCCATCTGTTCCAGTGCTTAAAAATCACTCTCCTAGGGAGAGAGTTCTTCCTAATACCCACCCCTCAATATCTTTTGCTGCAATTTAAGCCCATTACTTCTTGCTCCCTCCCTGTGAACACACAGAACAGTTGATCAATGTCCTCTGTATAATAATCCCTTGTGTCTTTGACTTGTACCAAATTCTCCTCCCACCTGTTTTTCCCTCTCCAGACTAAATAATCCGTTTTTTCAAGCCTTTTCTTGTAAATCATGCTTTGCAGACCTCTGATCATTCTCAAAGATTAAGAGAAGTCCAGCCAAACAACCACATCAAACAATATGCTAACTGAGTCCCCCACTACACACACCCTGCTTCAGATATTTTAAGGCTGCCTATGGGATTTGGGAACCTATTCATTTGATGCTGCTTTGACAGTCTTGGCTTCAGTGTTACAAAAGGCTAAGATAAGAGAGAAGAAGGTATTTTTCTAATTTACTTTGTGCCGAGTCAGTTTCCCCATGTACAGCACTTTCTTTTTTCTCTTTGTTTTTTCCTCCTGGACAAGTACAAGGAGAAAATCCATTGAAGAAGCAGGAAAGCAGACTCAAAACAGATGGAGAAATGACAAAAGAGGGCCAAGAAACTTAAGATCGGTGGCAGTATCTGGAGCCATCTCTCTCTTTCCACCCCTAGTCCACAAATATACACTCCAGTTGGCTAAATTTGATCTCTTTAAGGAAATAGGAAAGACTCCAAGAACCTTTGTGTTGTTTACTCAGTAAGAGATTAGCCCTAGCAGAAGGCTGAACTAACCCTCCTGCAAAGTTTATTGGTAAATGAACCAGAGATAAACAGGTATTGTCCAGAAAAGGGACAGCTGGGAAAGGCCTTGCCATCAAGATATAATATACCCAATTAAAAAATAATCACTAATTTGCCCTCTACAGTCTCTATTCCCATCTTAATTAACACCCAGGAAATTTGAAGAAAGGCACCCTATTTACTAGACGCTCACAACTGTGTTCCTGTAAGCTTACTCACAGGGTTGTTTGAATAGTGACACTGTATCTTAATTTGAAAACAAGCACAGAGGTCCCTTTGCCCCATTTTAACATGAACTTTGCCAATAAAACACTCCCACAGGGAGCTCTTTAAATTTAGATATAGCATCTCTATATTTAGATGCAGAAATAGTAGAATATAACATTTGTTACCCATCTTTGCTATTTCAGGAAGTCACGACAAACAATATTAAGATTTTAACAACCATTGATGTCGACCCAGGAGTTGTGAAAGTTAAAATCATTATTGAGAAAAAGAATTCTAAAAGCAGATACAAGCAGCTCCTCAGGCTACAGGAAAAGTATTCCCTTGTGCTCTCCACTTTATACATCATGCACCTGCTTTTCTGTTCATGGTCAGAGCTGAGAAACATAAAGACCAATTTCACTTTTGTTTCTAATCAGTTTACACCTTTGGGCTCTCACACGCCAACCCAATGTCTGGGCTGCAAGCACTGAGTAGAAATGCTCATTTCAGAACTGCTTCTACTTGGTTTGGGGGGGGTGGAAAAAGCATCATGAGTAGAAACTTCCATATTTAAGAGAAGAAAAAAAAGTCTAAATTTGAGGCCGAAAGTTTTCCTCCATTGCTTCAATATGGAACTAAGAAGGATCCCCCCACCCAGTACAACTAACAATTTACAGGCTGTTGCTCTCAATAAGGAGGTAGAAAGATGCATGTGTAAACATTATTTCAATGATAAGTGTTGTATATCAACTGGTTTAGGCAGCAAAAAAGCCCCGTCTTCTACTCTTCGCTGCGCAGCGGTTATTTTATTCAATTGACTCAGTTCTTTGGAAAGAAAGAAGCAACATCACATACAGCACGATGCAAACAGCAATCTTGTGTCCTTTGTTTCATTGGAAAGAATTCTGCCCATGACAATGGCTTTGAGATGGGGCTGGATCTTGATAAAAGACACTACAATTAAGGAGGAGCAAAATGAAGCCCAGTCATTCAGCTTGTTATCAGAGGGGCTGAACAGCATCACGTTTCTTTACTGGCAGTGACATTGTCAAGTTCTATTACAATGAAATGGTCAGAGTAGAGACCACATGAGGCATTGAGCAGATCTGATTCCCAACGTTATCTGGGATCTATGGGAATTAGGCATTGCTAGCAGCATACATTATGACCTTTAACTCCAATGTCAACGTAGGAGGAGTTTGCCTAAGATTTTTCATTCAGTTTTAAACAAAGTTAAGGTTGGGCTTCCCTTTTAATTCAGCTGTGAGCCAGCCTAATGAACACATTTACACTCTGAGATACCCACTATGTTGCAAAGTGTTAATAACTTGCTTTATTGGTGACACCTGCTGGCCAAAGCAGAGCAGAGCAGTCCAGTTGACTGCTACATGCTAGAGAAGTCTGATAGCAGAAGGTAGAAAGTTCCATTAGGAAAAATAATAACCCGGGAACGTATGTTTCAGGATCACCTCAAACAACTTGGGAATTTTACAATTGAATCAGATAGCTCACAAGCACCTGGGGAGCCGGGAGGAAACAGGGCTAGAGAGACCTCTAATCTCAGAGCTCTCTGTTAGTAGGATCTGTTACAGCAAGTTCAAGCACCCCTTAAAGAGAAGCCTCGATAACACCAGGGAATCCTCCAAACCATAAGTAAAGATTTTTTGAAATTCCTAGTTCCAGGAAGATGAGACTATAACTCCACCAAGCTCTGATCTCAGTGGAATGGCTCTGCTAACTTACCCCAGCTGTGGATCTGGCCCCAGGGGCAAAGAGAGTCAGTCTGCATCCACAGCATTTCGTGAGCTTTTCAGAAACTGAAAGTCAGTGCAAGGCCTTGGGCTCCTGCCACTTATTGTTCAACTGTTGCAGTGCAGTCCAGGAGAAGAAAAAAAAAGTAACACATGATTAATACCACACTAGCCACCAGATCTCAACAATGACACGTCAGCAGTGCTGCTGTCAGTGAAAACTTCTCTCATGGCCTGACCGACTGTGCACCAGATTATTTCATTGCTTTCAGGTGAACACCAACGTAATGGGGGTAATGTTCCATGTGTGGAAAGTTTCATGTTGGACAGGAAGCACTCCTTGTAATGATAAGAAAGAAAAGCTGGACACTCCACTACAGCCTTTATGCGTGTCAAGCATATTAAACAGGAGGTTGCCTTTTCATTAGTGCAGCAGATATAAAGTTCTCTCTCTCTCTCGTACACGCGCGCGCACACACACACACACACACACACACACCTGCCTCTGCTTTATATTTTGCATATAAACAAAACTATGCCCACATGCTAAATACTGGCCTTTTGATTAATCAGCACTGGAAAGAGCCATTTAAAAGAAGGAAGGGGTGAGAGAGCCACAATTAATATCCAAGGACAAAGAGGGATCATATTCATGCCAGTGGGCACAGCTTGTATGGTATACTGCGTATTTCTCCAAAAGGACCTTAGCATTTCCTATACCACATCCAAGCAGTCACACATTGAGGATGGATCATCTTATGGAATGAAGCACACTGAACTAGAACCCAAGAGACTTCACCCAGAACTTTTAACCATCCCCTCAAGATCTCTGTGGACACCACATCCTGATCATCACGCTAGCCCATAAACTGGACATCATTTGAGACTTAGATCTCCCTCCAATCCTCAGATCCAGGTCAGGTCTAAATCCAACCACTTTTTTCTGCATCACGTCCCTAAGATATGGCCTTTTCCATCCATCTACACAGGTCAATCCCCATCATCTCACATAATTATTGTGATGTCCTTTTCTCTGGCCTGGAAAAATGCTGTCTTGTCCTGTATACATTGTTCCAGAATGCTGCTGCAAAGATCATTTCCCTTACCACATCACCCCCGTCTGTGCATCCCTCCAATCACTCCATTTTTTTCTACTGCACAAGGCATAAGCTGCTTGTCTTCACCTTCAAGAGCTCTCATAGCCTATCCCAATTCTGCCTATCAGCTCCTATTTCTTCTTCAGATGTCAGCTCCAGTAACCAGTTGGTGCACAGTGCCAACCTCCATCACCCACCTGTTACACTTGCAATCAAGTGCCTTCTTGCTTTTTTCCAGGTTTAAGAGGCTCTCCCCACAGTAATCTACAGTTTCTATGAGGTATTTTGTGTTGACCCAACCAGAACACTGGTCCAGTAAGTTCCTCTCTGTGGAGGAAATGCAGCCTTAATAAAGGAAACCTGTGAGTGTGCTTCAGCTCATGATGGTTATTGAATGCATTTGCCATATACAGATTTCTTCTCCAGCAGAGCTCATAAGCATTGTACAGCACCTGCCATGAGTCACTTCTCTACATAAGATATTGAACAGCGGGGGATGCAGAGCACTCAGAAGCCTTGTAACCCTGTTTCCTCACCCCAACAAATTCAATACAAGCCTCTTGAGAAAAGGGCAGAATGTTCTCTTAAGCATAATCTTTTCCCAGTTACCAGTTACAGGGAAAGGAGAGGGGTGCCCTCTTTCTTCCCCCAGTGCACATAATGGACAGAGGGAATAGCAAGTTGAGGGTGCTATTCATAACCTTCACGATGGGTTTAAAGGCCTGCAATGGCTTTCAGACATGACAAAATGGCAGAGAGGAAGAGGAAGGGTTTTTAGGCAACATTATTCTACTTTTCCCCTACCCACTCAGTGCCTGCTTCTCACCAACCTCACCAATCAGCAGTTTTCACAGCTCCTGACAGGCTTAGCCCTTCAAATGCCTGACAAAGAAAGGTTAACACAACAAGGGTAGTTGCAAGCCCAGCTCATCCCACACCTCCCTTCACCTGAGGAGTTTATTAATGTTCTTCCTGCCTCACAGGCACCTGATGATACATGCAAACAGCCCTGTGTTTGGACACCAGGACAATCAGATGCCTCTGGCTGAAAATCTACAAAGGCGCAATGCAAAATTTTAAAACTTGCTTTGGCTTCATGACTCAAAGAGTTAACTTGGAATGGTAAAGAGAGCTCTCCACTGGCTTTGAGGAAATGAATTTCCCTAAGCAGGACTCATCTGGCACTTTAAATGCATACAATGAATGAGTACACCACCTCCTGGCTTACCTGACCCATCGTTATTAAAGAGATCACGATAACATTTCTGCTTCATTAGCATAAACAAAGCAATCCAGGGAGACAGAATTGCTATTCATAGGCCAGTTTGGATGTCAAAAGTATCCTGGAAAGCTTGAAATGTTCATGGTTTTCATTTTTAAAAAATTATCACAAAAATGTTCAAATAGTACGTTTTAACAAACAATTTGCTATGAATGGACTTTACAATGTGCTGAACTGCACATATTGTGGGATTAGAAACGACCCAGTGGAGCAAGCAAGCCACATAAGGACAAGTGTCCAAAGTGAACCAAGTAACAGGAGAGCCGACTATCAGATGGGTCATTTTGTTCCACTACATTGGTTTCAGCAGTTGTGACCACGTTCTGAAGGAGCGTACATTAGTGGAAAAGTTTCCTTCTCTCTGACAGGAGTCATTGCTGAGTCAGAAGCCAGCACAGGATTAACGGGGAGAAAAAAAAGAAAGAATTTGCTTAGGATATAGAACCGCAGTGCCTTATGGCAGCTACAGTACAGATACTTCATGTATCCATTCCCTTCTGTGGCCTGGACTTACTGGTTGACCTAACTCTCCTTGTTAGAAGCGGGATAGAAGTGCTTTGTAGGAGTCCTTTGGCATGGTGCATCTTAGGAGATAAGGACTTCCCAGTTGGATTCTATTTTAAAGACCCTGGGCATGAGGCTCTGCTAGTCACCCAGGTCCAAGTGCCCCAGTCACTCCACCCCGGTTACACATATACATATTGACTGAAATATTCCAATTCCAAACTCCCCCCTCCCCCCCCCCCAAGTAATCAAACACTTGCAATTTTAAATCCTTATTTCCTACCAGCTCCAGCACTTAGTTGTATAGGAGTATTTTGTTGCCAGCTATTTACCTTGAGCGATGAAGTCACTTTAAAGGGTTTCTCACAACTTTCCAAACAAAATTGGCCTCAGTGCACTTCCCCTGATGTATAGCCATGGCCACCATTATTATTCTTTATTTGCAGTACCATGCAATGTTCCTCCATTTTACCAAATCTCCCACCCCATGTTTCTTTGAAGCTAAAGCAGAAAACCAGGTGGGAAGTTTCAAGGTAGATTAGCTCTTGGGGAACTGGGAGACAAAACAGCTGCCGGGGTAATATTATTTTCCTCGTTCTAGTACAGTCCCTTGCTCATAAAGCACCTCTTTCTGCTGTTCTTTCCCACTGTCACACAACACCATCTGCCCCCCTCTCCCCTGCCAGGTTTCAGATATCCCTGAATACCTGCGGAGAGAGAGACAGAAGTTGTACTGGGCTCCTCCCCAGGGGCCTGCCCGCATTCCTAACCTAAAAGCAGTTGGCAGGGGGCAAGAAGGGAGAGAACAGAAAAAGAGACTGTCATCTTAGACTGTCTCAGCCCAGTTACCTCTTAGGAGAGCTCAGACAGGTGCATTTTGCTATGGAGTAAGTTCTTTCCAGATCCCGGTACAACCAGCCTCTCCGCAGCATACTGGCTGCTTCATAAACACACAAGACACCCCATAGTTATGGGATAAGCTCCCCACGGGACGCTAGCTCTGGTAGCCCTCAATGGTCAGCTGGTTTAGAGTCCTTAAGGAGGAAAGTTTATAACCCTCACTGTTGCATGAGGCCTTCCTCAGGCAACATGGGTAATAGAAGAAGATAAGAATGAGACAATGGACGCCACCCCCACCCTGGTCAACAGCTAGCCCCTAAACTGGGATTTCCAAAGGAGGGCAGAAGAGTCGAGCACCCATCCCAAGTGGAATGTAATGGGGAAGAGTGGGGCACCTCATTCCCTTTGGAAATCCTGCCCCACCTTTGTCCCTCTTCTACATGACTTGCTCCCAGCTTACAAAAAGAGAAACACGGGGATCCCCAGGGAGAGCCAGCAAGAAGATAGTGAGCACTTGGCTAGACAGCAGGGACTGCCTGTATCCTGACCTCCACTAATACTAAAAAACTCCCCAAATCCCCCCCCACTGGCACCAGTTAGAGAAGAGAAACCAGGACCTGATTTATTATTAAAGGCAGCAGCTACAGGGCATCAGGCCAACACAAAGCTACCCTTGGCCTTTCAGCTCCTATCAGCCAAACATAGGGACTTTTGCTGGGCCAGGAGGAGGCTACAACAGGGCAAACCCTTCTAACTGGGGAGGTTTACTGTCCCCTTCACTTCACGTATGAGGTCTGATGCATCTCTGCAGCAGCCCTGAAAGATAATATTTGCCCAGCAAACAGAAGCCTTGGCATACAAACAATGGTCAGGAGGGTGGGAGGGACTCTGCCTTTTTCAGAGGGAGAGAACACATTCCTCTAGACACGAGTATCTTGGAGACTCCAGCTGCTATGTGAACGGAATAAAAAGTCTTATCAAGTAAGCAATTTACAACCTGCAGAGGGAGGATCCACAAACCACAAATAACCCCCATCCTTGCGTAAATCACGATAACAAGAGCAAAGGTAAAGGTGAAGGCAGCTCCTTCTAAAGGAATTTTTAAAGGGATGTCTAAAAGCCCAGTCCAGTCCCAGAGGATGTCACCGGCTGGCATATCTATCTCCAAGTGGCTTTGAGGAAAGAGATTAAACTACTAGCTCTTGGGTCAGGAGACAGACTTAAGGTTGCAAAAGTAGAGAACATGGCAGGCTTTGCTCAGACTTTCACAAAGCGTCACAACTTGCAGACACTGGGAGAACCCAGGCGGACCAACCTTCTCATCAAGGGGAAGTGTTTGGGTGCAGCGTTCTTCAGTTCAGAGACAAGCCAGCATACCTGATGGATACATGTCAAGGGGTCTGGCTTTTTTGCCTTCTAGCACTCCAGTTGGTGCTGCTTCCATGCTTCCC